AAAAGAGCCAAGGTTGCCTACCCCTGTGTTAGGTACACACGTAAAAATCAAGCTAGGCCTTATTTTCGGGATAGGCCTTATTTTCAGGGAAACATGGTAGTCACAAACAGGCCGGAAGAAACAAATCACAGTGTCATCCCTGCACTCTCCTATTTTTTTGCACCCAGTCTGCCATGGACCTTGTGGGAGGGGAAGAAAGGGAATGCTTGGGGGGAAAGTGAAAGTAATGAAAATGACTATGCCCCTCAGGGGAAGCACTTCAAGGTCATTTCCCTGGGAGAAGAATGCAGCTGCAGGACAGCTTACATTCAGAGTGTCCATTTCAAACACATCATCTTTGAAATTGATTGGACGATGGGGGGGGGGACCAGCAATGGGATGTGACCAAGAGGGGAAAAATTATATCTAGAATTTTGGTGTGTGAACTTTACTTCTGACTTGGCTTTGCTGTTTTCCACCTGACCTTTAGTAAACTATATCTTTCTCAACAAACTGAGTTGAGGATCGCTCTTACTTAAAAGTTCAAGCTGAGGCGGGACTGACACACAGACTCCTCCTATTGACCCGCTAAAACCTGATAAAGATTTCCCAGATAGAAAATATATTTCAGATAATCCTCACTTCAATTACAAAGTATTCCGTACCTTGAATCCGGGTATTCCCGGTGGTCCTGGAAGGCCCGGTGGGCAGAGCGATGGACACTGTATTCCAAACAAACCGGAAATTAATACCATGGTTATAAAACGATCCACAAGATTTACACATTTTATCAGTGGGTAGTGCTCACTTACTGATCTCAATTGGGACTAGCAGATCCATTACTAAGGAATACGATTGTTAAGTGAAACATCATTTGACCGTTGCTGACTTAATTCTGGCTGTAGCCATTAAGTGAATCACTTGGGATCATTAAGAGTGATGTTAAGTTAAAGGATCAGCTATAAATCTCCTTTTTCAGCGTTCTGGTTATTTCAAACCATCACTGAACGAACGGTCGGTAAGTGAGGACTACCTGTAGTAATTCAGTCACAAGGCAATCAAGATAATTGGATTACTGTAGATTTCATTTAGTTTTATTCCTGCTGGATTATGAGTTTTTGGATTTCCAGTGAGCCAATCTACAACCTACAGGGCTTTAAAATGAGATGCATTTATATTTCCTTGCTGAATTTTTCCTAGCGACGTTCCTTTCCAAAACATTAGTATTTGTACTAAGAATACCATATTTTATTTTCAGGCAGAAAAGAAAGAAGAGAATCACTGCCCAACTTCTGTAATATATTTTTTTCAGTAAAAAAAAAAGGAAGGTAGAAGGAAATGATCCCCTTCTCCTTGAGTACCAGTTAACAATTCATTGTGATTTCCCATTATGTCACAGTAGCTGGCTGTGCACTGCTGACTTTGTCTGGGATCCCTAGCTAAGTAGGGTCAGACCTGATTAGTATTTGGATGGGTTATTTCTTCAATTCTCTCATCCCAGACAGGAGAACTGAAGACATATTTATTTGATTATTTATATCCTGCCTTTATTTAAAAACAAAAACAAAATTTCAAGGCAATGAATATATCTAACCTTCCTCCTCCTCCTCTGTCCCCCATAACAACAACCCTGTGAGGTGAGTTGGGCTGAGAGAGAATGACTGGCCTGAAGTCACCCAGCTGCCTTTTGTGTCTAAGAAGGGACTAGAATTCACTATCTCCTGGTGATGGGCCCAAAGTCACCCAGCCGGCTTTCATTCCTAAAATGAGACTAGAACTCACAATCTCCGGGTGATTGGCCCAAAGTCACCCAGCTGGCTTTCTTGCCTAAGGCGGGACTAGAATTTACAGTTTCCTGGTGATTGGTCCAAAGTCACTCAGCAGCTTTCATGCCTATGATGGGTCTAGAACTCACAATCTCCTGGTGACTGGCCCAAGTCATCCAGCTGGCTTCCTTGGCTAAGGAGGGACTTGAATTCACAGCTTCTTGTTTTCTAGCCTGGTGCTTTAATCCAGGGGTCTTCAAACTTGGCCCTTTTATGACTTGTGGACTTCAACTCCCAGAAATCCTCAGCCAGCGTGCCTGGCTGAGGAATTCTGGGAGTTGAAGTCCACAAGTCATAAAAGGGCCAAGTTTGAAGACCCCTGCCTTAATCACTCCACCAAACTGGCTCTCCCGGTTATCTTCCAAATAGCCCAGATAAAGGCAGTGGAAAATCCTTATACCAGTTGGATGACTATGCCAATTAATTTCTATGAAGTTCAAATTTCATTTGAGCCAATCCAATCTGATCCAATCCAATCTGATCCAATCCAATCCAATCCAATCCAGACTTTATAAACATTTTATAAGCAAACACTGAAGGTGAAGTAACATTATCAGTGATGATCATGTTGTTGTTGTTGATGATGATGATGAACTGATGATGTTACCTAGTTTGGTAAAGAAATGTCTGCGAGAAAACTACCAAGCTCACAGACCACCAAGGACCCATATAGTTCACCCTGAGCTACAGATAGCTTTTCTATTGATAGGGTACCATTTTGCACCTTTGAATAAGGACATTAATTTCAAGAGACCTTGCCTAATGTCTAAATTAGTGTTTCTCAACCTTGGCAACTTCACGATGTGTGGACTTCAACTCCCAGAATTCACCAGTCAGCCATGGCTGGCTGAAGAATTCTGGGAGTTGAAGTCCACACGTCTTCAAGTTGCCAAGGTTGAGAAACCTTGATGTCAATAAATAAATAACCTTGACGTTTGGCATATGCAACTCAATGAGATCTCACATAGAAAGCTGAAAAGTGGAAAAATGCGTACCTGAAGATCTCTAGTATGGTCGAATACTCCAGGGAGACCCTGCAACAGGTAGAATGCAGCATGTTACATATGGAGCATAGCTTACAGAGACCCAGCATTGTTAAAGCACATGTAGTATGCTTAACCGAAGTCAAGCTTTGTCACAATACTATCCTTGGTTAAATTAGTTTCCTTTCTTTTTGACCAGGTTGCATAAACCCAACCAACTGAGGGTTTGATATACAGGAAGTCCTTGACTCACGATCACACAACTCAACCCAAAATTTCCGTCGCTAAGTGAGACATTAGTCAAGTGAGTTTTGCCCCATTTTATGACCTTTCTTGCCACAGTCGTTAAGTGAATCACTGCAGTTGTTTTAAGTTAGTCACAGGGTTGTTATAAATGAATCTGGCTTCCTTGTTGACGTTGTCACCAAAGGGGATCGTGTGACCCTGGGACACGGACATGGTCATAAAGATGAGTCAGTTGCCAAGCGCCTGAATTTTGACCACGTGCCCATGGGGATGCTGCAGGAGTGTGAAAAACGGTCATAAGTCACTTTTTTTCAGTGCCGTTGTAATTCCAAACGGTCACTAAGTGAACTGTTGTAGGTCAAGGACTACCTGTACAGCATTGTCGAGAATGCAAAAAAAAAAAAAAAGAGACACTAATTCAGTAACCAGGTTGTACGTCTATTGCAAGAATGTTACTGCAGATAATAAGTATGCATGAATCAAAATAGCAGCCCACCCTCCGTTCTGATATGGGCCCTCCCTCCCTCCCTCTCTTTACAATCTAGAACAGTGGTTCTCAACCTTTTTTTCACCACAGACCCCCCTTTAAATACCTTTTGTGGCCACGGACTGTGGCCACGGACCCCCAAGGCTTAGATTTAAATCACAACATTTCTTCAAGCCTTTTGCCGACCCACTGGGATGAGATCGTGACCCTCCGGGGGTCCACAGACCACAGGTTGAGAACCACTGGTCTAGACCAGGGATAGGCAACCTTGGCTCTTTTATGACTCGTGGACTTCAACTCCCAGAATTCCTGAGCCAGCCATGCTGAGAGGAAAGGGAGAGGTTTCCAAGCTGAGCCATGCTGGCTCAGGAATTCTGGGAGTTGAAGTCCACGAGTCAAAAAAGAGCCAAGGTTGCCTATCCCTGGTATAGACCATGGTTTGTAATGAGACGGCAGGCCAGGCTCCTTGCCACTTCTGAAGCCATCAGCCACGTTTCATTCACCAGTGCGTTAGTGTTAATTGAGCAACACTGATGTGTCTTGAAGTGCATTGTGGCTTTTGATTATGGATTAGTGTTCTATTCCTGGGAGGAAATTCTTCTGTTTAAGACCTGGTATGGTAAGAACGAGGCCTATATTCTGGGCAGCTGTAGTAGCAACTTTCAGCAACGCTTGATCTAAAGCAAATCTTAACTTACCGGTGGTCCCGGAGGTCCTGGTGATCCAGGAAAACCTGGAAGTCCAGACGGTCCCTAAATAGAAGCAGACACTTTCAACTTACAGTATATTCAATCATTTATGAAAAGCATCTTTACCTAGTTTACTGGCTGGCAGAATGGGATCCGTGTTTATTTATATTTTACTTATTATATCTGAGCAAATGTGGTTTTCAGGCCTTCCCATATGGCTTAGCACAGGTAGGACCATAATTGGAACTGGGGAAAAAAATTCATTGTTAAGTGGTCTGGTTGTTAAGTGAGGTATTATATGGCCAGATCCGATTTTGTGACCTTTTCAGCCATGGTCATTAAGTGAGACATCACATGATCATGATTTGTGACCTTCCAGGCCAGCTTTTTGCTTGTTGGAAGTCAACCGGAAAGCCACAAATAGCAATCATGTGATCCCAGGACACCGCACCTATTGTAAATATATGCCAATTGCCAAATGCCTGAATCACAATCACATGACCATGGGGACGCGGCAATGGTTGTAAGTGTGAGAACTGGTTGAAAGTCACTTTTTTCAATGCCTTTGTAATGATAAACACTCGCTAAATGAATGGACGTAAGTGGAGAACTACCTGTAGCAATTTCCAGAAGTGCAAATAAAAGCTGTCATCTTAGTCCAACTCTTTTAAAGGACAACATGTCAAGGTAATAATCTAACAGCTAACCAGCTTGTATAATGTGAGATGTATGATGTAATGATGGGAATGACTCAGCAGAGTCTATGTCCCTTTAAGAGCCAGCTGGGTCTGTGTCCCTTTAAGAGCCTTTGTATAAAAAGGGAAGGCACTGCTGCTATGTTCTCTCTTCTGTTTCCTGCTGTAACTGCTGTGTGTTGGAGTCTGCTGTACTAGCACGTGTATGTATATTGTTCCTGGTATATCTTATTGTAGATAGTGTAATATAAACCACCATTTAATATAGACCACTGTTTACTGTGTTTATTCCTGGGGTTATCTCAGCGCAATAAGACTGTGCATGCTCTGACACAAGCCAATCTACAAGCCAGGATATTAAGTTATTATTATTACTTATTAAATTTATAGGCCGCTCATCTTGTGGTTCAAGGCCACTCTGAAATGTCTCAGCTTTAGTCCAAAGAACCAGCTGCCAGCCTCTAATGGAGGACAACCTTTGGGAAAATCACAAGCAGTAGGATCCTTGGTGCTCTCTAAGCTTGGTTGTTTTCTTGCAGACATCTCATTGCCAAACTAGGTAACATCATCAATGCTAGAAGGAAATGGGGATTGCTATCTGTTTATATACAAGTGGCTTGCCCTTTCTGTAACAGCCTAATAAAAGAACTACCAAGAACCACTATCACCAACAACTGCAGGTAAACAGAGAGCAAAACCCCACTGTCTTCTAGCACTGATGATGTTACCTAACTGGGTAATGAAATGTCTGCAAGAAAATAACCAACTCAGAGACCACCAAGGACTCTGCAGTTCAACCTTGAGCTACAAATATTCTCTTCTATCACAAGCAGACCCTGAAGGACCTTAAATCTCCATTCTGTGTTGTTCAGCTACTCCCCAACTGGCAAAGGGGTGAGATGAAATTGCCTCCATATGTTGCATGATAAGAATATCCTAGATGGAAGTTTATCCCATTATGAAATTCTGCCCTGGCTACATCAAGAACCAGAAAAAGAAGGAAACTTACCGGTGAGCCTTTCTGACCGTTTCCTCCCGGAAGACCACTGGTGCCTGAACGTCCCTGTTAAAAGAGAGAAGACAAATAAATGCTACTGTTTATTCTGGAGGGAAGTGGAGGGAACCCCAAATTTCTCTGTTCTGCCCCAAATTCTTTGTCTGGTCACTGCAGCCCTTTAAGGACAGCAGAGAATGGCTTCAGGACTCAGTCTGAAGGACCCTAATTCAATCCACATTTATTCTTTTTCCTAAAAAAAAATTAAAAAAATTACCGGTGGCCCTGCCGGTCCTTTGCCCTGAAAATGAGAAGGAAAATGCATGGTTAAAATGGCACAATTCCAGAAGAGCTGGTCGTTTGGGAATCCGCTCCTCCCACCCATTCTTCTTCTTTTACAGCAGGGGTGTCAAACTCAATTTCATTGAGGGCCGCATCAGCATTGCGGTTGCCCTCGGGGGGGGCAGGTGTGTGTGGCCAGGGTGGGTGCAGCCTACTGGGTGAGCGTGGATGGAGTGGATATGGCCTACTGGGTGGGCATGGCCAGCTCTACATCGTTCGCGTCAAGGGTGCCTGTGGGGCCCTGGGCAGGAGTGGGACAGATCTGAGGGTCTCTGGCAGAAGGGGGTGGGACCGGGGCAAGTGCCAAGGCATGGTCCATTTCTTCATTCCTCACAAAGGGTGACACCTCCCCAGCATGCACCCAGAGGGCGGGGCCGACACAGCAGGGGCTGGTTCCTCGCTGTTTCTAGACGGCCTTGTGGAGCTAAGACTGAATGCGTTTTAGCATAGATGGCCACCACAAAATTGTACATTGGCTCCCGGCTGGCCTGGGCCAGGGCCAAGGCAGCGGGGGCCATTCCCTCACTGTTTCCAGGATGGCTTCACGGGCCACATGAAACCACTTTGTGGGCAGCATCCGGCCCCCGGGTCTTGTGTTTGACATGTCTGCTTTACAGGCAATCCTCAACTATTCGCTTAGTGACCTAAACAGTCACTAAGCGTTTAGGTCACTTTTTCACACTTTCGACTGCTGCAGCTACCCCATGGTCATGTGATTAAAATTCAGACGCTTGGCAACCGGCTCATACTTATGACGGTTGCAGTGTCCCGGGGTCATGTGATCCCCTTTTGAGACCTTCTGACAAGCAAAGTCAATGGGGAAGCCAGATTCACTTAACAACTGTGTTACTAACTTAGCAACTGCACAGATTCACGTAACAACTGTGGCAAGGAAGGTCTTAAAATGGGGCAAAATTCACTTAACAACTGTCTCACTTAACAACGGAAACCTTGGGCTCAGTTGTGGTCGTAAGTCAAGGACTACCTCTATGCTGAAATAGACAACTGGATACAAACATTCCAGATTCCCAGAATATAAATATAGAGGTCTTTTGGCAAAGGGGTAGAAAAATGCAGACATGGAAAATTGAGATGATTATGGGGCTAGTTCAGGGGTAGGCAACCTTGGCTCTCTTATGACTCGTGGACTTCAACTCCCAGAATTCCTGAACCAGCCATGCTGAGGGGAAAGGGAGAGGTTTCCAAGATGAGCCATGCTGACTCAGGAATTCTGGGAGTTGAAGTCCACGAGTCATAAAAGAGCCAAGGTTGCCTACCCCGGGCTAGTTAGAGACCTGAAAGCCCTCCCGCCTGACTTTTAATTAACTTTTAGCATTCCATTTTAATCATCGTTGCCTCTTTTCAAATTTTATATCCTGTTTTTATGGTTTTAAAGGTTTGATTCGTACACTGGGTTGATCGAGCCACCAAAACATCTGTTTGATGTGGAGGATTAAATTTTCTTTCTCTGCAAAGCCCAAGATTTGTGATAAAGCTTTATCAAAGCTTGCAGGCCAATATCCATTACTAATGAGAGAAATAGACACGGATTTTGTCACTTACCGCTGGTCCAGTGTATCCTGCCGGTCCTACACTTCCCTAGGAGGGCAAAACACAAAAATTAACATTCTCCATCTTAAAAAGACTGCTGATACAAGAAGAATCCTTCAGCTCTCAGAAGAAAAGTGGGACAGATAAAACAAAAACAAAAATAAAATACACACGGAGAAACGGCTGAGGTGCATGGAAGGAGATCTTATTTACACCAGTGAACATTATTGTCAAACTACATGACGCTGCTGCTCAGTATATGTGTTGTGTCCACCTTACAACTCCAAACCATATTTATCTTAAGAGAAACTTGAAAACACACAAAAAGCCTTGGTTACAGAAATGTATTTTAATCGGAAAATCACTTGTAAAAACATTTATACTACTATAGGATCCGGACAGCAATTTGAGGGTTCTCCTGGACTCATGACTCCTGGTTGAGAATCCCTCTCACACTTGCATAGGTAGGTAGGTAGATAGACAGACAGACAGACAGACAGACAGACAGACAGACAGATACCAGATAGATAGATAGATAGATAGATAGATAGATAGATAGATAGATAGATAGATAGATAGATAGATAGATAGATAGATAGATAGATAGATAGATAGAT